AAATACAAAACAAACATTAGATAACATGACTGTAGATCTGCATCTGACTTGCCCACCTGTGCACCATTGGCCCACTGCAGACTTAGTACCCCGTGGGGACAGATCAGATAAAAGAGAAAATCCAGAGGGGCTGGGCCATGTGACCTAGCATCTTTTCCTAAACTTTCCAGTCATCTGTCACTCTTTTTCTGTTAAGTAGGAGAGGGAGAAGGGAGGCCAGGAACCTTATTCCAGAAACGATGGGAAGTGTCCCCTCTCATTCCAATAAGAAGTTTGTTTTTATCTGTTTTGTACTTGTGGAGGGTAGAATTTTCATGAATTTGGAGTGGCGTTACAAGCAACCTTCTCTTGCTCAGTGATGACTGGCATAAGAAGGCTTAAGGTCACTTTTCCAAAACTCGAATCATCTCCCTGCCCCCGCCACCCCCTCCCCCATCTCTTTATAACATTGTTCGTAATCCTATAGAATAGGTCAGTTCATTTAATAGCTTAAAAGTACATGATGCAGTTTATCACAGAGGGTTATTAGATATTACATTGCTTGAAACTGGATGACTTGTGAAAGCTTTAGCGAAATTTGAATAACTATGCCATCTGCTTCATACATTTTTAGGTTAAAACGGACAGAGTATGTCCCCATTATGAATCAATTTTAATACATTTATGGGGGATGATCTAGGAACTATAAAATCCAAAAACTTGGGTTTTAAGTTCACATAGTTTTCATCACTTACTAGCTGTGTGACCTTGAGCAAGTTCTAATTCCATACCTTATCTCAGCTTCAGTTCTCTGAATTACAAAATGGGGAAAATAATAACACATTTCTCATAAGATTGTTACGAAGCTTAAGTGAGAAAATGCAAGCAAAGTATTTATTGCTTATTTGGGGGGCATGATAATTGTTCAATACATGATTAAATATTTTTATGTAATCTGAAACACTGGATATTTTCTGATTTCTGCTTTTTCTGAGTTTTAGACATTGACCTACCTAAGAGGCATTATAAAACAGCTGTTTGAAATTTTACCATGTTTGTTCAGGAAGAGTTGTTGAGGATGTTGTGTCATAGCATCCTCTCTATAAAGACCTTGGGGGAAATAGTTCTTTCAAGTCTCAGTCTGAGGAATTGAAGTCTCTTTTCCAAACTTTGGGTGTGTGTTTTTATCTTAAATTGTGTTAACAGATCATGTTTTCTTTTTTGAATTGCTGTTGAAGAAGCTCAGAAACAAACTTGCAGCCCTCCTGTAGCAGGGTAGACTGGATTTTATGATGTATATTTTGGACACTAAATTTTTTTAAAGATTTTATTTATTTATTTGAGAGAGAACAAGCAAGTAGTCGGGGGGAGAGGGGGAGGGACAGAAGGAAAAGGAGAAGCAGACTCTGCACTTAGTGCAGAGCCCAACATGGGGCTCCATCCAAACGACCCATGAGACCATGATCTGAGCCAAAGTCAGGAGTCCAGCGCTCAACCAACTAAGCTACCCAGGCAGCTCTTGAACACTACAACTTAACCTTCATTTCTCTTGCCTACTCATCGTTGTAGTCTCTTCCTCTCCAGTTTTCTCACTGTAATTTTTCCCTTGTTTTTGCTACGTCTTGTAAGAGACTGCAAATACTTTCTGAATGAGAATGGAAACATAGATAAATGCATTTAAATTAAAAACATTTGACTGCAAAATAAATCTTTAAACCTGAGGAACACACTTGACCTAAAGAAATATTGGTGATTTCATTTGATGAGCTTTTTGGCATTGTATAAAGCTAGTTTAGATTAAAATGCTCTAGGTGATTTCTGATATGAGTGGCTGTACAGTATCACTAGAATGTCATGGATCTCCCATGAGTCTATGATTATATGCTCTTCTATACCAAACACATAACTATACATGTTGCTGCTCTCACCCACTAGCCAGATATAATTGACATACGTGTCTTATAGTCTTGAATGAGCAGAGTTGAGGTTTTAGAGTGCCACAAAACTGAAGAAATGGAGTATCAAAAGGCTTGAATACTAATGCCTCCTTTATAAGGGGTTAGAGTGAAAGGCAGATTGTGCTGGAATGTGGATACTGAAGAGTTGGGGTAAGATTTACATAAAGCAGGAAATGTATAATCAGGAGCACCAAACAGTTGGACTTCTTGTGTGGTGTTGGTTCAGGTTCAATTTAGGGAATATTTTGAGGTTTTATATTATTTGAGTAGTTTCAAAGTATTTTATTTCAAATCTCAAATATTGAAAACTATTATTTTTTCCCTAATTCTGATTTCCTTCTCCCAAATCTAATCAGTTATCAAATCCCATTATATCTTTCTTTGAATCCTATGACCAAATTAGAGGCTACAGGAAGTAAGTTGACAGTCTTTTTAATCTCCCAAAGTTTACAGGTCTCTGTTTATAATTGCCATTCTTGCTTGGAATCCTTAGACTCTTAAGAGCTCCTCCTCGGTCTTTTGTTTCTCAAATTATGTTTATACCTCAGTAGATAGGGAACCTATTCCTTTGCCTTCGTGGCTGGCAGTCTGTTGCCTACAGGATAGTTTAAATTTCTTGGGTGCTTTGTTTTTTTGTTCTAATTTATATTTTGGGCCATATTGCTTGCTATTCCCGTAGTGGACTCTTGTCCTAATTTCTGTCTTCCCAATATACAACGCACATAAAAAATTACTAATGATCTTCAAGTGATATATTATTAGAACAAGTTAGGTTTTTGTTTTTGTGATTTTTTTTAAAAGATTTATTTGAGAGAGAGAGAGAGTGAGTGAGAGCAGGGGGGATGGGCAGAGGGAGAGAGTCTTTCAAGCAGGCTCTGCACACTGAGTGCAGAGTCTGATGTTGGGCTAGATTCCATGACCCATCAGATTATGACTTGAGCCAAAACCAAGTGGATACTCAACTGACTGATCCAAGTGCCCCAGGATGAGTTCATTTTAATTGCACTAGTTATGGTCTCAGAAGGTGGAATCTCCTTCTAATTTGCTTTTTTATGATGCTCAGAAGTAATAGTTTTCCCTAAAAATTTTATATATTCTAGTAATCATACCTTGTACCTTGAGAAATTTAGGACTAAATAAGAGTATCCACAAATTAATTATATTTAGCGTATACATAGTCAAACAACATTAGCTGCTAATATTATTTCTCAATGTTTTTTGGCTGGAATTTAGCATTTAATGCTATAACTTTTTTGACATTCAGAATGCATTCATATGCTTCCTGCTTTCTTGTATTTTATTTTACATTTGAACATTTATTTTTATTTTTTTAAGATTTTATTTATTTATTCATAACAGAGAGAGAGAGAGAGGCAGAGACACAGGCAGAGGGAGACGCAGGCTCCATGCAGGGAGACCGACACGGGACTCGATCCCGGGTCTCCAGGATCATACCCCGGGCTGAAGGCAGCGCCAAACTGCTGGGCCATCGGGGCTGCTCAAATTTGAACATTTAAAGTGTAATCCCTGTTTTGGAAAAATTCTGCAGTCAAAATCCATCATCTACACTGGATAACCTACTAAACAAGGAATTTTAAGTCCTTCAGAAGCTATGACTTCTGTGGTTGGACTCTTATCAGCTACCTTTTAAAAGAAAAAAAAATTATTTATTCATGAGAGACACAGAGAGAGGCAAAGACAGGCAGAGGGAGAAGCAGGCTTGCTGTGTGGAGCTGGATGTGGAACTTGATCCCACAGGATCATGACGTGAGCCAAAGGCAGATGCTCAACCACTGAGCCATTCAGGTGCCCCTTAGCTACTTTTTAATAAGTACAAATATTAAAGTTGTACACATGGTAGTAACACTCGTATTATTGTGTTTTCTCACAGCATGTATCATGGTGGCATAAAGATTATTTTTAAAGAGGGAAAATATTATAAAGAAATATTTATCTGTTGTTAATTATGTACTTTGTCATAGTATTGCATTTTTCTCTGATGATCTTTTTCACCACTAGACTAATCCCAGGTGGCTGTTTTTTAATTTTTACACCATTAAAAGTAATCACGTAGAGTTCATATTAAGAATCGTAATTTTCAAAAATGAGTCCCAGTCAAGAGATGTGTGTGTGTGTGTGTGTGTGTGTGTGTGTGTGTGTGTGTGTAGAGATTAGTGATTAAGGCATAGCCATATCATTGATAAAGAACAATACTATCTGAAACCAAAACCAAAACAGTACTTTTGACCCTTGAACAACATAGGTTTGAGCTGCATGGGCTTACTTATATGTAGATTTTTTTTTTATATAATACAGTATTTAGGATTTTCAGATTTTCTCTAGCTTTATTACAAGTACACATTATAGAATACATATAATATTCAAAAATTTGTGTTAATCAACTTCTTGTTATTGGTAAGGCTTCCAGTTAACAGGAACCTTAGTAGTATTAAGTTTTTTGGGGGAGTCAAAAGTTATAGATCGATTTTCAACTGCATGGGGTGGAGCTTAATGCTCCTAATCCCTGCATTGTTCAAGGGTCAACTGTAATAGCATTCCCTTGGACTATTTTTTCCCTTTGAGTTATTAACTGGATATAAGATTGTGTCTTATTTATACATCTTAAATGCTTTCTGTTTATGGCTAGGTAGTATAAATAGCATATGCCATTGCTTACTAAAGTGTATAATTTTCTGATAAATTTCATATATAACATTTGATTTTTTGAATAAAAGTTCATACATGGGAACAAAAAGGCTGCATTCTAAATGTTTGCATATCAGGGGCTCCTGGGTGGCTTAGTCAGTTAAGCGTCTGCCTTTGGCTCAGGTCATGATCTCTGGGTCCTGGGATTGAGCCCCGCCTGACACTGGGCTCCCTGTTCAGCAGGCAGTCTGCTGCTCCCTCTGCCCTCTCTCACTCAAATAAATAAATAAAATATTTTTTAAATAAGTAAATGTTTGTATATCCAAAAAGTTATTTAAATAACTTAATACTAATTAATAAATGCTGTACTTTGTTTTTATAGAACTACTCACTCGTAATTTCCTTTTTGTTTTAAAGATCTGTGGATAAGTCTGTCATAGTATATGATACTGTAAGTATTTCAAAACCTTCTGTGATTTGTGTAAATTCTATTAGGCTACTGAGCTTCAAGTTAGTTAGGCAAGATGAAAAAAAAAATATACTTGTTAGAGTGCCTAAGGGTAGACATTTTCAGAAATGCTAAGATAGTTATGCAGGTTAAGGTACAGGTCCTGGGACAAGCCCTTAAATATTTCAGTAGTGATTTTAAGATGGACAGATGTCTAAGATGGACAGGTCTGATCAAAGAAAATACAACGAGGACCAATATCCAAAAAAAAAAAAAATCACTTCAAATTAATTACTCTTAAACTTTTATTCCAAGTTTCCATAGTTTCTATAACAGCAAAGGATGAATGTTTACCCCAGGGTTGGGGAAGGGTTTAGCTGAAAGTCACCAACCAACGGTAGCGTTTGGGCTGGGTTTAAAGTATAAGGAAGAGAAGGTTTTAATGGACTTGGGAAAATGGGAGTCTTGGGTAGATCCATATAAATAAAGAGCAGAGTTGCATAACTATGAAGAAAAATGAACATTTTACATAGAGTGAAGATGAAGTTGATGAAAATATTCTCCAAGAGAGATTGGAGAATGTTGAATGGAGCCTTATAATGATGAGTTCAGGCTGCAGCAGCTTTGCCAGCAAATGAAACAGAGATGTAAATCATCAAAGTTTAGAGGGTCAAACAAGGAATCTAAACCAGTTCTCCACATGAGAGTTCAAATCACTGAGTACTCTGGCAGGGGCTAGGAAAGAGTACTCAAACTGAGTAAAGTGGATCCTGAAAGTTTCTCAAGAAATTTTCATGAGATTTTACAAGAATAGCTATAATGTTAAATTTTCTCCATAAATTATGTAAGTCTCAGTTATATACAACCAATTGTATAGCTGAAACTATAATAATACTTTATATTATTTATACTTCACTTTCAAAAAATTAATAAAATAAATGTGTCTAGATACTAGATGGCCAACTAAGTATATTGAAAATCTAAGTGACTAATTTCTACTCACTGGTCTTGCAATGGATAGAAGTCAAATGCCATAGCAAAAATACAAATCATTTCATGTAACAGATGTTTAGGTTACTATTAGTAAATTCAAATAAATTGGCAAAAGCCAAGGGTCTTTTATACTAAAAATTTCTAGGAAAATGGTCAGCAAACAGCAGTGCTAATTAATGAGAAAGTGAAATAACTTTCAACTTACATTAGTGACTAATAATACTACTAAAACACAGCATTTAAACTGTTTATGTTAAATGAGTCCTTATTAGTAACTTTATCTCCTACTTGAGTAAATATAAAACTGTTTTTATTGTTTTTCAGAATACTGAGACTATACTTCACACGTTGACTCAGCATACCAGGTCTGAACCTAACCTCATTTTCCATGAATATAATTAAGAAAGTAGTCTGAAGATACATAATAGTTGTTTTTATTAACTAGGTATGTCACAAGTTGTGCCTTTGCACCCAATATCCTCTTACTTGCTACTGGTTCAATGGACAAAACAGTGAACATCTGGCAATTTGATCTGGAAACACCTTGCCAAGGTTAGTAAGGGCATCATATTTAAGCCAGTTCAACCCATTCACCATTAAAATCTTAAATTCCATAATTTTTTGAAAAATTACTCAGCTTTTTCTGAATATAAAATATGCATCCAAATTTAATAGGATTTAAAAATAATTTTAGAGAAGGCAGTGTTTAAAGTAGTTGGTCTTTGTTAAAACTGCTGGGTGCATGTTCATGGATATCATACCTCCCATAGTTTTATAAGCTGTTTATTTGTACTGCAGACTATTCTTTCAGATAAATGTAGCCTGAGAACAAAATAGAAATCATAGTTTTATTGATTCATTTTAGTTTTGGCCTCATCAGTGTTGACACATAATTTAGGAGTTTTATTTTTATCACTGTCAGAATTAGCCAAATAGTGGTGGTGATATGCAGGTGGTAGAGCAAATAGAGTACTTTTGCTCATATGAGGTTTCTGGTTTTATTTGTTTTATTTAAAGTAGGCTCCACGCCCAGCATGGAGCCCAGTTCAGGGCTTGAATTCATGACCCTGAGGTTGAGACCTGAGTGAAGATCAAGAATTAACTGCTTAACTGACTGAGCCATCCAGGCCCCCCAATATGAGATTTATATAATAAAAAAATTTGGTTTTCTAGAGTGGAAAGAAAAAGTTCCAAAAGAGTAGTATTTAACATATTAAATAATACTGTAGTTATACATAGCATTACTTGATTTTTTGAAATTTCTTAAAAGGATGTTAAAGTGGCAAAACACAGATTTAAGGAAATTTCATTTACTTTTGAATTCTGAGTGATAATATTTATAAAGGATGTACTTGTCTTCATTGTTATTTTATCTGCCTTTCTGTTTTTTGGTTTGTTTTTAAAGCAAGGAGCACAGACGATCAAGTGAAGCAGTTTATTGAAGATTGGTCAGAGGATGATGTCTCGATGTGGCTTTGTGCACAAGGTTTAAATGACCTTGTTGATATTTTCAAAATTAATAACATTGATGGAAGAGAACTGTTTAATCTCACCAAAGAAAGTCTGGTCGATGACTTGAAAATAGGTAAGATTAGTGGAAGATTGGCAGTATTAAAAGTGACTTTTAATAATTTACTCTGAGATTTGTTTTAGTTGTATTAATAGTTTCCTCTTAATATCCTGGCATAGTAGAGAAGGATAGTACATTTTTATTGGAGTATGGAAAAGAAGTGTTCCATAGTATTTCTTTAACTAAAGCCACCACGTAACTAATTTTAAAAATGTATATATTCTTTAAATTGGGACATAATTCACATATGATAAAACTCACCCTTTTATAAGTGTACAGTGCAGTGGGTTCTTTTAGTATATCCACAAAGTTGTCCAGCCATCACCCCTGTCTAGTTTCACAATATTTTCATACCTTCAGAAAGAAACCCCATGCCCACAAGTTGTCGCTCCTCTTTCCTTTTCTCTCTAGCCACTGGCAACCACTAATCTGCATTCCATCTCTAAGGATTTGCCTCTTCTTGACATCTCATAAAAGTGGAATTATATGATATGTGGCCTTGTCTAGCCTCTTGCTTAGCCATGTCTTCACAGTTCATCCATGCTGTTGCATATATTCGTACTTCATTCCTTTTTATGGCTGAATAATATTTTTTTTTCACTTTATCACTTTTTGCTTATCCATTTATCAGTTGATTGAATTTGGATCGTTTCTACTTTAGCTGTTATGAATAATGCTGCTCTGAACATTTGTGTACAAGTTTTTGTGTGGTAATGTTTCCAGTTTTCTTGGGTACATAATCAGAAATGGAATTGGTGGGTCATACAGTAACTCCGTGCTTAACATTTGAGGAACTGCTGGACTATTTTCAAAGCAGCTGTGCTATTTTACTATTCTCACCAGCTATATATGAAGATTTCATTTTCTCCATATCCTCGTCAGTACTTTTTTTCTTTTTTTAAATTATAGCCATCCTAGTGGTCTCTCCTGGTTTCAATATATATTTCCTGGTGATTGGTGATGTTGAACATCTCTCCATGTGCTTGTTAGCCATTTGTAGATCTTTCTTGTAGAAATGTCTATTTAATATCCTTTGGTCATTTAAAAAACTGAGTTGTCTTTTTATTGTTTATATAAATTTGGATATGAGACTTACTGGATATATGATTTATAAAATTTTCCTCCCTTTGTGTGGGTTAGCTTTACAGTTTATTGATAGTGTCCTTTGAAGCACAATTTTTTTTTTAATTTTTATGAAGTCCAGTGTATCTGTTTTTCCTGTTGTTGCTTTGCTGTAGGTGTCATAGCTAAGAAACTATTGCCTAATTCCTAGTCTCGAAGATTTACACCTTGTTTCTCTTCTATGAATTTTATGTCTAGTTCTTATCTTGGTGTGTGATCAGGTTTGACTTAATTTTTGAATATAGTGTGAGGGTCAGGGTCTAACATCATTTTTTCAAATGTGGGTATCTAGTTGCTGCCCCAGTTCTATTTATTGAAAAGATTATTCATGTGCTTTGGAATTGTCCTGGCACCCTTGTTGAAAATCAGTTGACTACAAATGTGAGGATTTATTTCTGGACTTTGAATTCTATTTCATTGATCTATTAGTCTATTGTCATACTGGTACCACACTGTCTTTTTTTTTTTTTTTAAGATTTTCTTTATTTTATTTGAGAGAGAAAGAGAGAGAGAGTGATGGGAAGGAGGAACAGAAGCAGAGGGAAAAGGAGAGGGAGAGGATCTCAAGCAGACTCTGTGCTGAGGTGCAGTGCCTGAATCAGGGCTCTATCTCATGACCCTGAGATCATGACCTGAACCAAAACCAAGAGTTGGACACTTAACTGACTGAGCCACCCAGGCACCCCCACACTCTCTTAATTACTGTAGCTTTGTGGTATGTTTTAAATTTGAAAAATGTGTGTCCTCCATATTTTTTTTTTCTCTCTCCAAGATTGGTTTTTGCTACTCTGGGTCCCTTGCATTTCCATATGAATTTTAGAATCAACTTGTCAGTTTGTCTCAAAAGAAAAAAAAAACTGATTTTTTTTTTATCAGCATACACCGTAATATTAGTTTCAGGTGTACAATATAGTCATTCACATCCATACAATACTCGGTGCTCATCACAAGGCACTCCTTAAAAAGCCACCTATTTTGATATGGATTATATTGAGTCTGTGAACTAATCTGGGGATTATTGTCATCTTAACAATATTAATAAGTCTTCCAATCCATAAGCACAGGACATATATTGGTATATTCAGGTTGTCTTAATTTTTTGCAACAATGCTTTGTCATTTCCAATAAGTCATTTTTCCTTAAGTAATATATAGTTCAGTGGTTTTTAGAATATCCATAGAGTTATATAACACTGTTATATATCTTATCCCCTCAAAAGAACCCATTCTTTCTACCTAGCTCCTGGCAACCACTGATCTACTTCTGTCTTTATGGATTTGCCTATTTTGGACATTTCTTATAAGTGGAACCATACAGCAGGTGCCATTTGTATCTGGTTTCTCTTATGTAACATAAGGTTTTCAAAGTTCATCTGTGTTTTGTATGTGTAAGTACTTCAGTGTGTGAGGTTTCCAATTAATTTGTTCACCTTTTTCTCAACACTTGTTATTTATTGCCTGTCATCTTAATGATAGCCACCCTTATAGATGTGAAGTGGTGTTAGATTGTGGTTTGGATTTGTATTTACCTAAAGATATATGGAGAATCTTTTTAAGTGCTTATTGGCCATTTATGTATCTTCTTTGAAGAAATATCTGTTTAGATGCTTTGTTCTTTTAAAATTGGTTTATTTGTCTTTTTATTGTTGAATTGTAAGAGTTGTTGATATATTCTGGATACTAGATCCTTTTCAAAAACTGTCTTAGTGTCATACTCTAATATAATACCAGATACTATTATTAACATACTATAATAAAATCTTAATGGGAAAGCTTAGGAAATAGGATCTCCATAGTGAGATTTATTGTTAACGAAGAGTCAAATAACAACAAAAAAAAGTTAAAACCATTTAGAGTATAGTGTTATGCTTTCTTAAAATGGTAAATATAGCATGTGAATGTATTTAAATTATCTTGGAATCTTATGGCCTTGTAAGAAGTTAACAGAATGATGGTTTGTAAAAATACTTAGGGTCAGATAGTTTTGTTCTCAGGCCATACTGTGAAAGCTAATTTTGTATCTCTAATAACTTATTTCCTTTATAATTTACTCTTTCATCCTAGAAGTAGGTAATAGAGTGTAGGGGTTTTCTTTTTAAGTTCTGCTGAATTTAGCATCTTTATTAGTTGATTTCTCATTACTCTCTCACAATAAATCTTCACCTTATCACAAGAAGCACTTGACAATGTAAAACAATAATTTCAGATTTCAACAAAGGGTGTTTGAAAACATAAAAGAAGCATAGTAGAAACAATTAATAGGAATAGAGTTCTATTCCGATAAAGAATAATAAATTCTTGGATTTAATTAATGGTTTGAAATAGTTTCTGACGGATGAGTCTCAGCGTTAGTAGTTAGAATCATTTTAAACTTCAGTAAAATAAGTTTCAGAACTATCAGGCCAAAGCATAAAATGTAATTTAACTTCTGTAGTGGTCTAATAGCAGAATTAGGAAAATCATTATTATGAATGGAGACAAAAATGTTAACATTCTCTGGTAAATAAATCTGTTTTGTGTTTAAGATTTGGAAAGTTAGCAGATTGAACAAATTAAACAATAATAATATTGTTTTATTATTGTTTTATTATAAACAATAAATGATTAAATAAATAGACAAGGGCATTGATTTTTTTCACATCATTCTGAAGTATTTTATTGATTTTTTTCACATCATTCTGAAGTATTTTAAAGTTCTGGGGTGTCTGGGTGGCTTAGTCAGTTAAGCATCCGGCTCTTGATTTCATCTCAGGTTATGATCCTCAGGGTCATGAGATCAAGCCCCATGTTAGGCTCCATTGTGGGTATGCAGCCTGCTTAAGATTCTCCTTCTCCCTCTTCCTCTGCCCCTCCCCCCGACGTGCTTGCACTCTCTCTCTCAAAATAAATAAATCTTTAAATAAAAATGTAAACATCTAATAACACTAAACCTCCTAAAATTATACTAAACTTCCTGAAATCAAAAGTTAAAATAATTTTTAAAACTTGATAAAAGTAAAAATACAAATGAGTGAAACTTGTGTGTATAGTCTTACACAAACAGGTGAGTTTTATTTATGATCGTGTTTCATGTGAGAATCAGCAGATATGTCCAGTTTCAAACATGTTTTAAATATAAAATGGAATTTTTAATCATTAAACTGAAGATCTTTAAAAATTGTTAGGAAATTTTTTGGTTAAATACAATAACCAGTAGTAACAAGTCTTTTCAGGAGTCTGAAATTCTTCAACTTTCAGAATAAAGTTTTTTTAGAATAAATTCTCCATTTGTGCTGGTTTAACTACATAGTATTCTATACTATAAAGATTAGTTAGGGAATTTATAAAGAAAACAGTTTTGTGTGGTAAAACAGTATATCTGAAGATTTTTGGTTGTAATAGATAAAATCTCTATTTGCTAAAGACTTGCATAGAGGCTACCAGTGGTTCTCTCACCCTAACAGAATAAGTTCTTTTCAGAATCTCTAGGGCTGCGGAGTAAAGTTCTGAGGAAAATTGAAGAACTCAGGACCAAGGTGAAAGCCCTTTCTTCTGGAATTCCTGATGAATTTCTATGTCCAATAACTAGGGAGCTTATGAAAGATCCTGTCATTGCATCAGGTATGTGTGATGCTTTTCTAAGTTTTAGGGCATTAATTATGTGCTAAATGAAAAAATAATGTAGATATTTCATAGAAGTTTGTGTAAACATGAGAAATTTTTACAGCCTCTGTTTTATAGCTCATGAGTAGTTTTTTTTAACTCGTTTAATCTGAGGTAAACTATTGAACATTATATATTTCTTAATAAAATTGGATGGAGTAGGTTTGGATAAGATTAGAGACAAAAGGGTTCAGTTTAACAAGCTTTACTTGAACTTGTGAACTGTGTTTTTGGTTACAAGAACGCAAGGTAAAATGTTTTTGAGATAGGCTGTTGTGATCTGTTTACTTTATCATGAATGTAAACAACCTTACAGAAATAAGATTTAAAGATTATAAAATTGCATCATTCCACATTAATTTCTAATCTGTCAATAGACACAGATGTATATAATTTACATAGTTGTAATCAGTGAATCCATATTTTTTTAAATTTTTGTGTAAGACTTTATACATTTCTAAATAGTGACTTATTCTATGTAATTTTCTGTTTTAAATACTTTATTCCATTGTGGCTCTCTGCTACATTTTGATTCATATACCAAATAGTGGAAATATTTAAATTGTAAACAGCATTGCACTGATACCTTGGTACTTCCTTTTTTCTGTTATCCATTACTTAGGGTTATTTTTATGGTATGTGTTCCCCCATCACAATGCTTTATGACCATGAAAAAGAATGGTTTTGATAGATTTTGTTAGAATGTTCTTTTTTTTTTTAAAGATTGTATTTATTTATTTTTTTAATTTTTTTTATTATTATTTATTTATGATAGTCATAGAGAGAGAGAGAGAGGCAGAGACAAGGCAGAGGGAAAAGCAGGCTCCATGCACCGGGAGCCCGACGTGGGATTCGATCCCGGGTCTCCAGGATCGCGCCCTGGGCCAAAGGCAGGCGCCAAACCGCTGCGCCACCCAGGGATCCCTGTATTTATTTATTTATTCATGAGAGAGAGAGAGAGAGGCAGAGACACAGGCAGAGGGAGAAGCAGGCTCCCTGCAGGGAGCTCGATGCAGGACTCAATCCCAGGGCCCAGGGATCATGACCTGAGCTGAAGGCAGGCGCTAAACCACTGAGCCACCCACGGATCCCCTTGTTGGAATATTCAGTGGACATTTGAAAAGTGTTGTCTTTCCCCATTGTGTAGTATTGGCACTCCTGTTGAAAATCATTTCACCACATATGTGAGGGGATTTATTTCTGGTTTATTTTGTCCCATTGGTCTATATGTTTGTGCTTTGGCCAGTACAATACTTTTTTGATTACTATAGCTTTGTAATATGTTCTGAAATCAGGAAGTATGAGGCCTCCAGTCTTGTTCTTTCTCAGTATTGTTTTAGCTCTTTAGGATACTTTGGGATTCCATATAAATTTTAGTATGGGTTTTCCTATTCCTATAAAAAGTGCCATTGGGATTTTGATGGAGATTATATTGAAGGTGTAGATGACTTTGGGTAGCATGGACATTTTAATATTAACTCTTCCAATCCATGAATACAGGATGTCTTTCCATTTATTTGTATTCTTTTACTTCTTTCCACAATATTTTGTAGTTTTCAGTGTAAAAGCTTGCCAGAAATAGATTAAGCACCATTCCAATATATTGATTCGTTCAGAACTGATAGCTCCAACTCATGCATATCATCACACAGCTCTCCATTTTATTTAGGTCTTCTTTACATTCTCTTAGCAGTGCTTTGTATTTCAGTATATAGGTTTTACACTTACTTTGCTAAAACTGTCCTTAGGTATTTAGTATTTTTATAACACTATAAATACTAGCTTTTAAAATTTCAATTCCCAATTCTTCATTGCTCAATATTTTATAATTGATTTGTAGATTGACTTTGTATTCTGTGACTTTGCTTTAGTATATTAGTTGTAATATCTCTTTTTTGGATCCTTTTACCTGATTTTCTGCATACATGATCATATCATCTGCAAGTAGACATTTGTATTGCTAATCTGTATGCCTCTCCTGCCCCTCCCACTTTTCCTGTTTCTTGTTACACTGTCCAGGATTTGTAGTACAATGTTGAAAAGAAGTGGTAAGAGTGCCTTAACATGCTCTTGGGGGGAAGCATTCGATTCAGTTCAATCTTTCACCATTAAGTATGATGTAAACTGCCTTCTATCAAGTTTAAAAAGTTCTTTTCTATGTCCAGTTGCTGAGAATATTTAAAATGCTTATCCTGAAATAAGATGGTTTTTCTCTTTTATCCTGTATTATTAGAGATTACTGTATTAGTTTCTTCTTGCTGTCATAACAAATCACCACAAAATTAGTGGCTTAGCACATTTTTGTAGGTCAGAGGTCCAGTACATTCTCATAGATAAAAGTCCGGGTATTGGCAGGTCCTGTTCCTTGTTGGAGGCTCTAGGGAAGAATCCATTTCTTGCTCATGTAGGTTGTTGGTAGAATTCAGTGTCTTGTGATTTTAGGACTAAGGTCCCTATTTTTTTGCTAGCTGTAACCTGAGGGCTGTTCCCAACTGTGGTAGGCAGAATGGTCTCTCCCCAAGCATGTCCATGTCCTAGAGCCCTAGAGCCTATGAATGTTACATGGCCAAAATGGCTTTGCAGATGTGAAATTAAGGGTCTTGAGATGAGTCTCCTGTAGTATCCAATAGACCCAGTGTAATCACACGGATCTTTTATAAGTGAAAGAAGGAAGCAGAAGAGTCAGAGGAGAGGTGACAACAGAATAGAGTTTGAAGCTAAGGAATTCGGGCAGCTTCTAGAAGTAAATAAAAACAAGGAAACTGATTCTCCCTTAGAGCCTTCAGAAAGAATGCCACCTTGCTGACACCTTGGTTTTAACCCAGGGAAACTGATTTCATATTTCTGATCTGCAGAACTATAAGATAATAAATTGTGTTACACCACTAAGTTTGTAATAATCTGTTACAGAGGCAATAGGAGACTGGCTCCTAGAGGCTGTTATATTTCTCAGCATGGGGCCTTTTTCCAGCTTTAAACCTAGTATCTTCCTGTATCACATTGCATCTGTTTGACCCACTTTCCTATATTCCTTTTCTGTTTTTAAGAACTCCTGTGAAAATTTCCTGTCTTAAAATCAGCTGATAAGTGACCTTAATCCTTGGCAAGCTTAATTCTCTTTTGCCATGTTAACATAACATTGTCACAGCTTCCAGGATTAGGATGTAGACATATTTGTGGGTCATTATTCTGCCTAATACATTATATTCATTAATTTTTTTATTGTTGTGATATACAAATATATAAAATCATTTTAATAGTTTTTGAGTATATAGTTGAGTGATACTTAATTTGACTCTTCTGGATACCTCATATAACTAGAATCATGCAGTATTTGCCCTTTTGTGTTGACTGACTTAGCATTATGTCTTCAGGGTTCATCCACATTGTAGCATGTGTCACAATTACTTTCCTTTTTAAGGCGGAAAAATATTCCATTGTATGTTTATACCATATTTGGTATATACATCCAACCATGGACATGTAGGTCTTTTCTACCTTTTGGCCATTGTGAATAATGCCACCGTCGATGTAAGTGTACAAATATCTGTTCAAGTCCTTGCTTTCAGTTCTTTGGGGTATATATCCAGAAGAATTGCTCATACAGTAATTCTGTATTTAATTTTTTGAGGAACCACTATACCATCTTCACAGTGCCTGTACCATCTTACATTCCCACCAGCAGTGCACAAGGGTACCAATTTTTCTTGCCTGTACTTATTATTATTTTGTTTATGATAGCCATCCTGATGGGTGTGAGGTGGTATCTCGTTTCAGTTTTGATTTTTGCATTCCCCTAATGACTAGGATGTTGAATGTCTTAGGTACTTACTGGTCATTTTATATATATTTTTTCATTTTATATATTTTCTTTGGAGAAATATCTTAGTCCTCTACCATTTTTCAATTTTTTTTGTTGTTGTTGTTGAGTTATAGGAGTTCTTTATATATTCTGGATATCCTGTATCATACGATTTACAAGTATGTCTCCCATCCTATGGGTTGCCTTTTCACTCTGTTTTAAGGCCCTTTGATGCACAAAAGTTAATTTTGATGAAGTACAGTCTCTTTCTTTCATTGCATATGGTTTTGGGGTCATATTCATAGGAAATCATTACCAAATCCAGTATCATGAAGTATTCCCCCTATATTTTCTTCTGAGTGTTTTATTTAGTTTATACATTTAGGCTTTTGTTCCATTTTGAGTTCATTTTTTTATATGGTATACTTATTCTTTTGTATGTAGGTATCTACTTTCCCAGCACCATTTGTTAGAGAGATTGTTCTTTCCTCCATTGGAATGGTCTTGGCACACTTGCTGAAAACACTAGGCTATGTATGTATGGGTTTCTTTCTGTATTCTGTTGGTCTACATAGCTGTCTTTATGCCAGTACCACACTGTTTTGGTTACTATAGCTTTGTATATAGTAGCTTTTGAAGTCAGGAAATGTGAATCTTCCAACTTCTTTGAGATTGTTTTGGCTCTTCAGGATTTCTTGCAATTCTATATGTACTTTAGGATGGATTTTTCTATTTCTGCCAAAAATGTTTTTGGGATTTTGAGAGGGAGATTTTGAGAGGTATTATGATGGGAATCACATGGACTCTTTAATTGCTTTGGATAGTATGGGAATTTTAACCATTGTCTTCCAATCCATGAACAACAGGATATCTTTCCTCTGTGTCTTTAATTTCTTACAGCGATGTTCTGTAGTTTTCAGTATGCGAGTCTTTCACCTCCTTGCTTAAGTTTGTGACTAAGTATTTAATTCTTTTTGATGTTTGTTTTGAATGGAATTTTCTTAATTTCCTTTTTGGATTCTTCATTGTCAGTGTATAGAACCACAGCTGATTTTTGTATGTTGATTTTGTATCTTTTAACTTTTGTATCTTGCTGAATTGAATTTAGAACTTTTTTTGTGGAATCTTTAGGGTTTGAATTCACTTATTGCTGGAT